AAATGTTAGGCATTACTCTAAGCCCTTTACTTATATTAACTAATATAATCCTCATACTAACCTAAGAGAGAAATACTGTTATTACTTTCCCAGTACAGATGAGGGACTTGAGGCACAGAGAGGTCGTGTGACTAGCCCACGGTCACACAGGTAGTAAGTGGCACAGCCGGGATTTGAACCTAGTAGTCTGATTTCCAGAGTACCTGCTTGTAACCATGTACTTTAAAAGGAAACTTGACCAGGTGCAGTGGCTCGCACCTGTAATCCTAGCACTCTGGAAGGGTGAGGCAGGAGGATTGCTTGAGGCCAGGAGTTCAAGACCAGGCTGAGCAAGAGCGAGACCCCTGTCTCTATAAAAAACAGAACAATTAGCCGGGCATCATGGTAAGTGCCTGTAGTCCCAGCTACTTGGGAAGCTGAGGCAGGAGGATCTCTTGAGCTCAGGAGTTTGAGGTGCAGTGAGCTATGATGATGCCAGTGCACTCTAGCCAGGGCAACAGAGCAAGACTGTCGCAAAAGAAATTTAAAAATAAAAGGAAACTTTTTATCACTACAGAAAATAGAAAACCAGTATCACTTGTTGTAAATAGAAGGTAACAAAAAATATATAAAATGGAAACACATAACATTCTAGCTAGCTACTACCCCCTGCTGTGCGGAAGGCTATTCCTCCTATTCTGAGCTGGAGGCCTGCTTTCTCTTCGTTTAAAAAAGAAAGAAAGAAAGATTAGAAAAGACAAGCATAAACAGAAAGGTGTTAAAGGATTTCTGGCAGCAAAATGATTCTCCTGGAGTAATCGGAAGCGTTGAAAGGGAACTGGAAAGAGAATAGCATTGGGGGCGGGGTGTGTGTTTTCTTGCTGAACTGGAGTACCGCCTAGAACAAACCCAAGACAGGAAGCACTCTGCACACTCTGAACCCTTGTCTGGGCAGTCTAGGAGTGTCTGGACATCCCCGCAGAGGAAGGGAGACACCACAGGCTAGTCCTGGCCTGGGTGCACAGCCAGAGAGCATCCTGCAGCCACAGGTGCAAGGGCAGTGCAGGGCGGCAACATGGGAGGCCCGTCTGAGCTCACAGGACTTCGGTCACCATCTTCCCTCCCTCAGCCCAGCTCCCCGGGTCTCCCACCCCTTTGTAGCCCTCACAGAGCTGACACCGAGTTTACTCTGGGCCTAGAGTTTAGCGCACCCTGTTCCTTCAGGCTCCTCCATCCGGATGCTGTTTTGGTCATCCTCCTTACCTGGGTGCCGAGGCTCCTCAGCCCTGCGGAGGTGTGCGGGTGTGATATCATCGAAAGCTGTGAATAAGTAAACAATAAGCAGCCAGAAGTGGCCTGTTTCTTACATGATACCCCGGGAAGGGTCCGATTCCCCCCACCCGTGCTCTGGGGAGAGTCCTGGCCAGGGTGCCAGAGCATTTATTATTTAGTACTTTTACTTGTACCTATCCCAGCTTAGGTACTGTCCCAAGCAATTCCAATCTCACCCTTTATCTGTTCAGCAGAAAACGCTGAGGGGCACAACAGGTGAGTTGGAGTCAGACAGCCAAAGATCCAAGGCCCTTTCTCTTCTCATAGGCTGGCTGTGTGATCTTGGCCAAGTTTCAGAACCTCTCTGAGCCTTTGTTGTATAAACACAAAGTCTCACTGACTGGACCTAAATTCTGGTTCTGTCACTCACTAGCCAGGAGTCCTTGTGCAAGTGATTTAACTCCTCTGGGCCTCAGGCTTCTTATCTATAAAATGGGGACAATAGCAGTACCTCTACGTGAAGCTGCTGGGGTGATTAAATGAGACATGTGGAAAGCACAGTTCCTATATAAACATTCACTGTGATATGCATTAATAGTTGTTGTTGGGCCAGGCGTGGTGGCTAATGCCCGTATTCCTAGAATTCTGGGAGGATGAGGTGGGAAGATCACTTGAGATCAGGAGTTCGAGAGCAGCCTCAGGAAGAGCGAGACCCTGTCTTTACTAAAAATAGAAGGAAATTGGCCAGACAACCAAAAATAGAAAAAATTAGACTGGCATGGTGGCGCATGTCTGTCGTCCCAGCTACTGGGGAGGCTGAGGCAGGAGGATCGCTTGAGCTCAGGAGTTTGAGGTTGCTGTGAGCTAGGCTGACGCCATGGCACTCTAGCCTGGGCAACAGAGCCAGACTCTGTCTCAAAAAAAAAAAATTAGTTGTTATATTTTTAAATTTGCCATTGTTCTATGCCAGGTACTTTATATACATTTTCTCTAGTCATTACCACCAAGGCTTGCCAGTCTGCTATGATAATTCCCACTTTCAGATGAGGAAGACTGAGGTTCAGTGAGGTCAATTGACTTGCCCAAGGTCATACAAACACAATGGCAGAACTAGAATTCGAACCCAGATCTTGCCTGCTTCTAAAGTGTTGGGTTTTTGTTTTTGTTCTTGTTTTTCTTTTCTAACTAGGCCATAATTCTTTCCATGAAATGGAAATAATGTCTTCTGCTACCCAAATCTACTGTGAGGGTTAGGATTAAATAAAATAAGGTTTACGTAGAGTCCTCTACTGATGCTAGCTCTAGCTCAGCTCGGCTTCTTTCTCCTCCCAGGGTAATTGACCTTTCATTTTCATAATAAGGAGCCCCATGAACCTCTTCTTAATCTCTGGGAGCTGATGTTGTCTGATGTCCATAGGAGGGGGTAAAAGTATGAGATCAAAATCAGAACTGCCAGGTTCCCATCCCACACCCCAAGCCCTAGCCTGCTGAGGCTTCTTTCGTCTTCTGGGCCTCCTCTACATTTCCAATCTTCCACCCACTGAGTGATGGTTGGGAGGAAATAATCCTTTTCTCCCTTTCCCAGGGGCAGGGTGAAAGTATTAAATACAGGTGATACTATCTGACATCTTCAGCCTCAAACTTCAGGTAGAGGGAGATCATATGGTTATCTGGCTACTGTGAAGTCAGTTTCTCCCTGCCTCTAACAAATGGTGTGTTGTGGGTAGAAGTGCGGCCTTGGCAAAGTGGGGTGCATACATCACCCCTCCTCTTGGCTAGCCTGCCAACCAGCAGGCTGGGGCACTGTCCACCCTCCTGCATAATGTATGAGCCCATGGTAGGAACAGAACACCATCAGCAGTGAGCCTGACCACCGTAGGCCATGGATGTATCCAGAGGCCTTGCCAAAGCTGACATCTCTCTGTTGGCAGGAGCCGAAGAGAGTATGTGTCACCAGAGGCCCTTTCTGGGGTGGAACTGGGAACTGGTCTCATCCTGGGCCTTGAGATTCTGTCAGACAAGACAGCCCAAGAAGGCAATCTGACCCTGCCTCAGAATCTACAAAGGTGACATTGGTAACAGTTAGACTCCTGTTTTCTGGGCTTGAAACCCTCTATGAGAGGGCTAGTGGTGGCAAAAGGGGTGGCTGGGACCCTCTCTGTGTGGTTGAAGGTGGGAGGGGAGATTTGGGACCCCAGGACATAGACCCTGGCAATTTCTGTGGCTGCCTCACGGTGTAGGAAATCCCAGGGGCAGCAGCTGTGGTGAGGTACATTAGAGTGGAGGACATGGACAAAAATAGGTATTTGGTGGTACTGCTTTCAGGGGAAAATGGCAGGAGGCAGCAGTCGTGTAGGAAGTCCAAGGTGTCCATGGGGGGGTGTGACTGTGCACACGTGCAAGCATGTGTGTGTACAGAAGCAAAAAGGTTAGGAATGAAAGGGGGTCTGAGTGCCTTGAAAACCAAGGGGACTAGGACATCTGGATGACAACAACAGCACTTCTATGGAATTGGATTCCATTCATTCACAGGATCAGGGAGTATTCACCATGGTCCCCAAGGTTAGGCCAAGTGTTAGAACTTAGGATGTGGAGATGAGTCACACCAGGCCCCCAGGCACTTCCAGTCTAATTGCCAAGTGGGTACTGAAGTGGGGAATTCGGGTATCTTGTGCTAAGTGCTAGAACAACAGTGTCTATATGGTGCTGTGGGAACTCAGAGCCCAAAGCAGCCACGTCCACCTGAGGTTGGCAGGAACACCTCACCAAGAGGAACGAAGCTGAGCACATGCTTGAGGTATGAGGAAGTTCATTAGGGCAAGGGTGTTCCAGGCAGATGGAACCGCATCTGCAAAGCTGTGGACCTATGAGGCCCTATGCACTGATTCAGGAAACTTCAACAGATCCCATGTGGGGCCTTGAAAAAACTGAGGACGGACAAAATCTTATTTGTTTATATATTTATTATCTGATCCCCCTCCTCCAGTAGAATGTTAGCAATGAGAGGGCAGGAAATTTGCCTTACTCTCTGCTAGAGCTGCAGAGCCTACAGCAGTGCCTGGCACCGAGCTGGATATGTTGTGAATGAACAAAGAGAAGGTAGGCAGGGCCGAGTGGACGGTGACGACAGTCTGCTGCTGCATTTGGGCTTTATCCTGGAGTCAATAGGAAGCCTTTGGAGGTTTTAAAGTAGAAAAGGAGCAAGATCTGATGTGGGTGGTAGGAAATCACTTTGACGGTGATGTGAAGACTGCAAAAATGGAGTAAAAATGGACAAGTGGGGTCAGAATGAAAAAATATTGATAATTCCATACAATTAACAAGTAGCTTTGATTTTTACAATATCCCTGAAAGGCAGGAGTTTCCCCCTTTTGCGGATGAGGAAATGGACTCAGTGACATTCACGGACTTGGCAAAGTCACACAGCAAGTTGGGGGTGTAGCCCAGGGGTTCAGGGTCCAGTCGTCCCTTTGCAGAGTTCCAGGCCCCAGTGCCTCCTCCAACTTCCAGCATCTGATGAGGATCCGACCCAGGCCGGTGGTGGCGGGAACTCGCTCTTTCCATTTAGCCTCGGCGGGAAAGCCCCGAGGACCACGGTTTCGAAGGACTCGCAGGAGATCGGGCGGGAGAAGCGAGGCGGGAAGAAGGAGTTTGGGCCTCGGCGGCCGCCGTCAAAACAACGCTTGATTCCCCATGGCAACAGCAAGAAGCAGCCAAAGGCTTTGGGGCGGAACTGGTTCCGCCAGCGCGGCGCGGAATCCGTGAATTGCCCGCGGCCACGAGGGTGCAGGTGATGGGGATGGGTCGACGGAGGGAGCCGGGGTGTGGGGACAGCGGAGGGGTGTGGCCTGGGCCGGGCTGGGGTCTGCGAGGAAGGCGCAGCCCTCGAATCTCCAGACCGCCAGCTCACGCTGTTCGAACCAGAGAGAAACTGAGACCATCGCTGGGCTTCAGTTTTCCCCACACGGGAAATGGGAGAAGGAGGAGAGTGGGCACCCGGGTCTAACGGCCCCTCTCAGCCTCTGAGGCCCAGGACCTTCTCTCCCCTGCAGCTCCCGGACTGACTGGCGCTGCCCTGCCCCATGGACGTGAGTCTGGCGCGGCCCCTTCAGCTCCCTATCCTCACCCTGGTTTTGCCTGCCTTCAGGCCCAGACCGGGGAGGGGGCTTTCTACCCAACACAGATCCTTCCAGCTCAGGACAAAAGCTTTGAGAAAGAGTGCCAAGGAGGGACTGACTTCCCACGGGAGGGCACATTTCTGGTATTCTTGGCAAGATAAGGAGGACTTTACCAAGTAATCAAGGAGAAAAGGCATTTCACGCAGAGGGAAAGCATGGTGCCTGGGTGTGATAGAGAGGATGGGTCATTGGGGGAACTGCTAGGACTTCAGTGTGGCTGCAGTGGAGAGGTGGGAGGGAGGGAGAAGTAGGCAGGGGAAGATTGGGGACTTTGTCACTAAGAAAGTTTTCACTGAGTCACTGGGAGCCATCGAAGGACTGTAAGGAAGGGAGGGATACACAAGGACAGCTGGGTGAAAAGGGGCAAAAGTGCAGGTTGGAAGACAGTTGGGCCAGGAATGTGGGCTGAAGGATGCCAAAGTAGTGGTAGTGGGGTCAGAGACAAGAGATCTGTTTGGAGAGACATTCTGAAAGGAAGATCAGTTAGTCTAAGAAGATTCTAGAATAATCAACAAGTACTTGATGGTGCTAAAATGGGGATGACAGGAAAAAAGGCAGGTCTGGGGGGATAAGATAGTCAGTCGGGGTATATAGTCCTATTAACTCCCCACCGTCTGGGGGTTGTTCCTCCCCCAGCCATCTCCGTGTCCCTCCTGGTATTCCTGTGTTCCTGCAGCCCCTCTCCACTCCTTGTCATCCCTCCTGTGCTCGTCCAGGCCTCCTCTAGCCCATGGAATCCAACCCCGGCTCCCGTCAGCAGCCCTCACCTGCTGCTCCCCATCCCTGCCATCGTCTTCATCGCTGTGGGCATCTATTTGTTGCTGCTGGGCCTAGTGCTGCTGGTTAGGCACTGCCTGCGGGTGAGGGGCCTGGTGGGGATGAAGGGTGGGCTCTGGGGAAGAGGAACCCACTTAACCTGTCCCTTCATCTGCAGGCTCTTACCTTGAGGCTCCTTTGCCATTTAGTCCCCGCATCTATCCCTTTTGTGGAACCAAGAGGTCCCGCCTCTCCTGTCCCCAGCCGAACCTTTTCCTGCCCCCTTGAGAAAGCCAAATCTTGGCTGTCATTATCTGCTGCCTGGCCCAGATCCTGAGCCCTGTCCTCTCCTAGGTCCAGGGCTGCTGCACAGACTGCAACTCCCCCTGCGGGAAGCAAGGTGCCTTCCGACTTCAAGACTGTTGCTGGACCTGTGCAGAAGCCTGTGACTTCCCTCTGCCTAGCCCAGGCCACTGCCTGGATGCCTGCTGCCCCCAGCCCACCGAAGCTGTGAGTTCCATTCCTACCTTCTGCCTCACTGAGCCCTGATCTAGGTAGGATCTGTGCATTCTTTTTTTGATGTTCAACATTTATTATTGAGCACCTACTCTAAGCCAGGCAGGATTCCGGATACTGAATTATGTGGAAACAGGCAAAAACAACACATCAGATGAAAGCTGGTGATGAAAACTACGGCATATACTCAGCACTTCTGAAAATGGTAGCTAAAAGCAAAAACAGTTCACAGAGCTCCTACTGTTCATTGAGTGAATACTGTGTTCCAGATACAATGCCACTTTATTTTGACATCATTTTTCTCAACAACCCTGAGAACTGGGTATTTTTTTTCTTCCTTCCCACCCTACAGACCTGGGTGTTTTTTAAAACCTATATATTTTTTTCTGATTACAAAAGTATTGTTTACAAAGCATGCATATAGAAAGACACAGAAAGGCTGGGTGTGGTGGCGTGTGCCTGTAGTCCCAGCTACTCGGGAGGCTGGGGCAGGAGGATCACTTGAGCCTAAGACTTCGAATTCAGCCTGGGTAACATAGTGAGTCCCTGTCTCTAATAAAAAAAAAAAAAAAAAAAGATCAAATCACTTTATAAATCAGTTCTCTAACCCAAAGTTGGTATGTTTTGTATATGTCCCTCATATACCACTATACAAGTACTATCACTGCTATATTTTACTATTATTTGGCAAAGACGGAGTTATACCACGTAAACTATTTCTTTTTTTTTTTCTATTTTTTTTCTTTCTTATTACCTGTAGATCTGTGTCCATACACCGCATAGATTATTTCATCACAACTGCTACTTGCCCTTTTTAACTTGACATCAAATGTTGGCCACTTGTCCATGCCTGCACATGTAGATGGGTAAATATTACTATCCTCCTTTTGCAGGGGAGTAAACTGCTCAGGGAAGTTTGGTCGCTTCTCCAGTGTTAAACAGGAGAGCCTTACATAGCAAATTGCTCCATAGCGTTAGTTGAAACAGAATCCTCAGGGGAGAAGCCTGGCTCACAGAAGACAGGCCATTTTTGCATTTGTGGGTTTAAAGATGTTAAATGTAATCGACCACCTTCTTAGGCAATGATTATTTTGGGCTCAGAGATTTAGACAGCAAAACTCCTGCCCTTGGTGTGTTGACCTTCCCTAGGAGGGAAGACAAGGATAAAAGACCAAGCCCAGCAAATTCATAAAACTGGGCTGACTGTGATTGGTACAAATCCCTGGAAGATGTTTTCAATTTTGAAATAAATTGTGGGGCAAAGAGCTCTCTTCTTTCTGGTTTCCCAGGGGTAGCCAGGAGAGGGGTCCCAGGGTTGGGGCTGAGGGAGAAAGGAGAAAATGGAGGCTTCTGAAAACTCCCATCTTATAGGAGGTGTTCAATTACAAAATGATTTTTGGCTCCCTATCCTGGGGACACAGCCCCCTGTCCCCTCTGTCCACTCAAAGTGAACAGTCAGGGACCCATCTTCTCTTCCCTGGGAGAGAGGTGTACTATACAGAGGGACCAGGTCCCCCCACCTACCCCTCCAGGGTTGCAGGAACTCCTAAACCCCTGATCCTATTCGGTTTCTACTGGAGCCAGGAAGGGATTTAGAATGGCAGAGGGCGGGGCCAGTTCATTCTGTCCTTGAGCTGTCTTTCCACAAAGTACATTTAAGTCCCTCTGTTCTTCAGTTTCCTTGTGATAACAGTAAGAGCCACAAAGGCTACAAAGCTCTTACCCATTTTACAGTTGTAAACACTGAGGCTTAACAGGCTTGAGTGACTTGCCTGAAGTTATATGGCTGAACCAGCCAGAACACAAACCCAGGTTTCTTCTCTTTTCTGAGGAAGAAACCTTGCCTTCCCTGCTTCTTTCACAGGCATGTTGCAAGGATCTAATTCATTCATTTATTCATTCACTCACCAAAGATTTGTGGAGTCACTGTTAAGGCACTATACTGGGCCCTGGGGGCTCAGTAGAAACCAGATAGACAAGGTCTCAGGCCTCAGGGGGCTTCCATCCTGGTGATGGACAAAAAGAAAGAAATAGGCTGTTATAATAGAGAACTGATGTGATATGGTACAGTGGTTGACTCTCAGCCCTGTGTGTGATCAAGAAGCAAGTATGGACGTAAAAGGAAAGCCAGGCACCAGGCCCCAGACGTAGGAGGGATGGGACTGAGTTCGTGAATTTTTAACAAGTTCTCACATGATTCTGATACACACTGCTAGGGGGAAATCAAGTTATGATGAGAGAACAGCTCACTGCCTATCAGGCACTGTGCTTCGTTCTTTCCACTGATTCCCCACAATGACCCTGTAAAGTAGGTGTTATATTTGCTTCAGAGATGAGGAATCTGAGGCTCAAAACATGAATTAGCCAAGCTGATATTCAAACCCAGGCCTTATTGACTCAAGGGACTGAGCTCTCACCAGCAAAGGGCTGGCCCTCACAAAGTCAGGGGGAAAAAAATCAAAGTGAAAAACTCTCCCAAGAGCCTAAAGAAACACAAGGGTTAACAGTCTTGTGGAGTCCTTGTTTAATGTACTTAAACAGCAGATTCCTTCCAGAAGCCACATGGCTGCTTGTAAGAGTCAAGAAATCCATTAGCCAGTTATTAATGACTAGATCTAATCCCTTCCAGTGCTCAGAGCCAAGAAATGCTTTTAATACCCTCTTCTCTGAGGTAAGGGCAGCAGAGCCTCTCTCAGCCACCAGTTCAGTACACAGAATGACAGTGTGGTCCTCCAAAAACCCACAGAGTCAATTTCATCCCCAAACCTGGACTCCCTAGAGATGCCCCAAACCACACCCTCATCAAACACAAGAAAAACCACCTCTCTCTCCCCCCTCCACGGTGACGCTTCAAGCCTCCCCCTAAGAGGCAATTCTGTGGGCAGTGGCATAGCCCAATATGGACCCCCTCCCTGCAGATGGCAGGTACCCTCTCCTCACTGGAGCCCCTAGTGATATCTGATCTCACCAGTCATCTGACACAGCACCCCGAAACCTCAGCTGTTGGAAAGGTCATTCCCCTATTCCTGGCTTGGCCTGATTTCTGATTGAACTGTACAACTGTGACTGTCACTACCTTGGCTCTGGCCTCAAGGAGCCAATCTTGTGTCACACAGCCATCCTGAGTGTGTCCCACTCCAGCCACTTGGCCTGACTCTAGTCCATGCCTGAGGCAGCTGCAGGTCATCCCTGTGCCAATTCAGGGGAGCAGTGAGTTCCCAGGAAGGGGGTGGGTTCTCCCTTCCTGTCTCTAAGGACATGCTGTTCCTGCTCTCCAAGAGACAGACTTTCTGCTTCTCCCAGTAGCTGGGAAGCCCCCTCTTTTCTTCTTTGCCTAAAGAGGGGGAAATGATATGCTTAGATTCATCCATTCATTCAACATTCATCTATATCTCAGATACCTGCTGAGCACGAGTCCCCATGCTAGCTCAGTGGAGAACATGAGATCAACAGTCCCTGTTCTTGCAGACCCAGAAAGAAGCAGATGTTCCTGGCCCTGGGAGGCAGAGGGGTTGAGGGGTACCACAGGGATGGAAGCAAGCAGAGCCTGGTTCATCCTAGCTCCGTTCCCTAGTTGTATTCCTTTGGGCAAATCACTCCCCCTCTGAGCCTCCATTTCCTCTTTTGTAAGAGGCCCACTACTCAGAGTTCTGACAATTAAAAGAGATATAACTCTTTTTAAAACATTAAAATTTTAAAAAGTATGGAAATTTCCATTTTCAAAGAAAACTACAAAGATTTTTATCAATCATTCATGAATGCAGTCTGTGCCTTGCACAGGGTAGGTACTCAAAAATTATGAATGAGATCCTGTAGTTTGGCCTCAGGCCAAGGAAGAAGTCCATAAAAATCACAAGTTATTTTCATGATGGACAGAAAAATGTGTGTGCTTTCTCTGTCTACTGACTCTCAATTGCATGAGGCCATGAAGATGTAGCAGAGCCATCTTCGAACTGGACGTAGGGAAGCCCAAATTCTAACATGGGACCCAGGGCCAGTTGCTCTCTGGTCCTTAGTCTCCTCACCTATAAAATGGGAAGGAGAGAAGCCCTGCATAATTGCTTCCAGCTCTTGAACTCTGTTGTTCAGAACATTGCCTCATTACTGATTTTTCAACAGCACAGAGCATTGCTTTGTTCCCTCTGTTCCACTGGGCAAATGGGACTTCCCAGGCCTCTCTGTTCCCTTCTCCCCTTAGAGGGAAAAAGATTCTGGCTTTGGTTCCATCTCCCTCACCCCTCTCTCTTCTCCCTCAGGGTTGGGCACCTCGCTGCCCTCGCTGCTGCCCTCGCTGCTGCCCACTCTGCGACTGTGCCTGCGCGTGCCAACTTCCCGACTGCCAGAGCCTCAACTGTCTCTGCTTTGAGATCAAGCTCCGATGAGGATCCAGGGTCCCTGCCCTTTGGGGAGCGGCCAGCCCCCAGGACCCACATACCCTCATCCCTAAGGGGCCTCAGGACACCTTTCTCCAGGCTACTGGAACCACACAAATGGCCTGCCCAGCTCACAGGCCTGGGAACTGGAACTGGCAGTGGGGGACCTGGCTCCTTGCTGGGCTGGACTCTTGGCCAGCTGGGCTGCAGCTCCTTTGGAGGGCCAGAAGAGAGGGGGCTGTGTTCCAGCAGGTGTCCTGCCCCCTCTTTCCCTCCCCAAGTAAACTCTCCTCCCTCTAAGGGGAGGGGAGGCACTGCTCACCACAGACAGCTTTATCGAGGAACTTGGACCTTAAATATCAGGATATACAGAGGTGCCCCAACCACACCGCTGTCCATGGATTCTTGGTTATTTTAAGAGGTAAGTGCAGTGCCTGTATCTGCCCTCCCTCTGAAACAAATGGGCTCCAGATGGTGCAACAGCCATCATCAAGGCCCAGAGTCAGGGAAGGAGGGGCACTAGAGGAGGCAGGGAGGGCCGCACGATCTGAGTCCCCTTAGTCCTTTCGCTCCCACAGATCCCTGGCCAAGATTTATTTCTCTTGACAACCAGGGGCCTCAGTCTGGATTTCCAAGGAAGAAATTTCTTTTGAAGTACCGGTGAGTGGGCAGGGGGCCCCTCATTTCCCCCCCGAATAGGGCAGACCCAAGGCTTCCTCCCCCTTCCCCCATGCCGGGCCCCATGCTGGCATGAATGTCAGGGGCTTCAAGTTTCCCTAAATATAGGTCCCTGCCAGGGGATCTGTGGCGGGGAAAGGGCAGGGGTCACTGGAGAAGGCTGGGGACACTGGTTGGGGGGGAGGGCAGGAGCTGCCTTATAACCTAGCCCCGGGCACGCCTGGCTCACTCGCTGCTGACCAGGCTCTGCAGGCTCCTCCAGTCTTGCCGCAGGTGGGTCGCTAGCAAGACCGAGCTGGGATGGGGAGGTGGGGGAAAAGTGAGTGGACAAAGGGGTCGGGATAAAGCAGGGGTGGAGTGGGGGCTCGGAAAGTATCTAGGAGGTGGGTCAAGTCGGGTAAGGATTTTATTTTGGGGAAGTAAGTCAGGCCCAAGGAAGACGTTTCTCAGGGACTGTGCCGCCACCCCCATCCCAGAGACTTGGCTTGGGCCGAGCCGTGGCAGGTCAATTTCCACGTAGTTTGGTTTTCGGTGGTAGCAGGGTACAACCCGCCTGGTCGCCGCGGCCCCGGGCGGAAGCGCGTGCGCATGCGCAGGTCAGGGTGGCCTTGGCGGCCCCAGAGCCCAGCTGCCAGGACCCAGCTCGGAGGCGGGGAGGCCCTGCCTCCGAGCTCCGCCAGCCCCCGCGGCCCGGTGCTCCCTGTGCGTCCACTCGCCGCCCTTTCCTCCGCCTCTCTTACGCCCGGGCTAGTGACAGGGAGTGCGCAGCTTGCGCAGCCCAGCCAGCGGGTGAAGCAGGCAGACACACCCGACTTCTCGATTAGGTTACAATGTGACATGCGCTACAGCCGCGCAGGTCGGAAGCTGGGGCGGCGCCCGGCCGCTCGGGCTGGGCGTGGGAGGGGAAGCCAAGCCTTCATCCTTTCTCACTCTTCCACCGGCTTTCCCTTCCCCTCATCCGCAATCCCCATCTCCTCCGGTGCCAACATTCTGGCTGAGTCACGGCGCCCCACAGCGCGCCAGGCGGGGGAAAAAGCGAGAAGGAGGGGGGAGCTCTGGCGATCCGCGGGATGTGGCCCGAGTCACGTCCGAGGGGAGCGGGGCAAGATCATGTTCTCGCTGCCCCGCCCACCTCCCAAGCGCCGCCTCTGGCTTTGCCTCTCGGGGGCGGCCTCTTGCGCAGCTCTTCGCCTGCTATTGGCCGTCCCCCGCTCCGTGCAAAGGAAAATACCCCGCGGCGCATGGAGCGGTGCCTTTAAAAGGCCGGGCACCACCGCCCTCCTGCCCGCCCCCTGTGCCGCCTCCTCCGGAGCTGAATAGGCTGTGTTCCTCTTGGAACGCGCCGCAGAACCGGGTGGTGGTGACGACCGCCGCGTTCGCGCTGTCGCCAGCCCGCCGCCCTCCGCCGCGGCGCCCCGCACACCCGCTGTCTCCTGTGCCAGGTGAGCGCCCCTCTTCACGATCGAGGGTCAGGGACCCTGGAGAAGGATCTTGGGGGCAGCGGCGGGTCGGGCGTCGGTGCGGAGCCCCACCCCCACCCCGTCCGAGCATCTCCCCACTACCAGCCCCCACACATATGCTCCTCGCCCTGGTGCCCCGGCCCTCGGTAGCGCGAGCTCCTTGGGTTTGCTGCGCAATGCAGCGGCTCCACGCGCTGAGTCATGGCGGTGGAGGAAGCAGGACGAGTTGGAGTGCCGTTCCCCCTCCCTTTTCCTCGCAGGGACTCCTGGTGCAGAGGATTAGGGCCTCTTGGCATCGGCAGGGATCCTGAGAGGCAGCGAGGGGTGGGGGCCTGCTCGTATACTGCCTCAGGGTTCTTGCAAGCGGGAGGTTGGACCTCGCTGGGAGGATGGGTTGCCCCTGGCGTGGAGGGGAATCCCCTTGGCAGCACGTGACGACCCATTAACACTTTCCCTATCTTTCCTTATCGGGTGACCTTGATTCTGAGCCTGGAACAGCTGCAGCCCAGCGAACCGACAGGAGCACTTTTCAGGGGAAGGGGTGGGGCGCTTGCCTCTCCTCCACGTTCTTTCCCGGATGACCAGTGACAACGGCAAACCTTAACCACTTCCCTCTATCTTAGGCTAGGGCTTGCTCTGCTGCCCTTTCCTGAGCTTCTGATTGCCCTCCTGCCTTTTTCCTAACACCCTTTTCCTAACACCCTCCCCTAACATTGTGGGGAGAAGCTTGACCTTGGGGTGTCCTTGAAGCACTGGAGCCTGGGCCAGCCCTGGGATCTTGGGTGGGTTGGAAGGAACACCCTGATGGCAGTCAGAAGATCTGGGTTCCAATCTCAGATCTGACCCCTGGGTTGCTGCGTGGCTTGAAGCACAGACCTTTCCCTTTTCTGGGCCCTCTACCCTATTCATGAGCTTTAAATTCTAAAATACTCTGGTTCAGTTTTGTTTCTAGGCAAGGTGACCCCATGGCAAGGCGCAAGCCAGAAGGGTCTAACTTCACTGTGACCTGCCTGTCCATGGCTATGGCCTTTTCCTATCCCCCAGTTGCCAGTGGGCAACTCCACCCACAGCTGGGCAACACCCAGCAACAGACAGAGTTAGGAAAGGTACAGGAGGCAGGCCTAGTATAGGGAAGTCCGGTGTACGGAGCTGGGGACAAGTGCCCCAGGGCCCGCTGGGTGTGGGGCAGGAGAGGCAGGGAACATTTGCCCTGATCTCCAGGTGAGGGGCCCTGCTCCTTGAGAAACCATGGGAAGACCCAGCTTACAAGTCCTCCGCCATCTGTCTTTTCTACCCAGGAACTTGCTATCACCAGCACCATGCCCTACCCACATCCAGCGCTGACCCCGGAGCAGAAGAAGGAGCTGTCTGACATCGCTCACCGCATCGTGGCTCCGGGCAAGGGCATCCTGGCTGCAGATGAGTCCACTGGTATGGGCAGGAGACAGAGTGGGAGGGCTGCCCAGGGTTGGAAGTGGCAAGCTGGTCCCCTTATTCCCTGATGCTCCCCTTCAGGGAGTATTGCCAAGCGGCTGCAGTCCATCGGCACTGAGAACACAGAGGAGAACCGGCGCTTCTACCGCCAGCTGCTGCTGACAGCCGATGACCGCGTGAATCCCTGCATCGGGGGTGTCATCCTCTTTCATGAGACACTCTACCAGAAGGCGGATGATGGGCGTCCCTTCCCCCAAGTTATCAAATCCAAGGGTGGAGTTGTGGGCATCAAGGTGAGGGGGCAGGGCCTCAGAATGTGAGATCTGAGATGGATCTGGGGGAGAGAAACCCAGAGTAATGAATGAGGCAGGGGTGAATACTGGGCTGGAAGCCTAAAGACTTGGATGGAGTCTGCCCCAGACCTGTGGTACCTACTTGGATTTTTTTTTTTTTTTTTTAGACAGAGTCTCACTCTGTTGCCTGGGCTAGAGTGCCATGGCATCAGTCTAGCTCACAGCAACTTCAAACTCCTGGGCTCAAGCAATCCTTCTGCCTCAGTCTCCCGAGTAGCTGGGACTACAGGCATGCGCCACCATACCCGGCTAATTTTTTCTGTATATATTTTTAGTTATTCAGCTAATTTCATCTTTTGATTTTTTTAGTAGAGATGGGGCCTTGCTCTTGCTCAGGCTGGTTTCGAACTCCTGAGCTCAAAAGATCCGCCCACCTCGACCTCCCAGAGTGCTAGGATTACAGGTGTGAGCCACTGTGCCCGGCCCCTACTTGGCATTTTTAATCCTCACAATTCTAAGAGCAGGGTATTTCACTTTACAGATGAAAAGCCAGCAGCTCAGGGAGAAGTGTTCTACATGCAGTTAGTAAGTGGCAGAGCACAGGTCTCCTGACAGCCAGCATTCCTGATAGTTAACATTCGTGGTGTCAAATAATATCCCAGTGTGTCCTGCCTCACAGGATTGGATGCTGTAACTAAACGAAAATACTTGCAAACCCTGAGATATGCCGCTTGAGAGATTAAGTAGAGGGAAGAGTGGGGCTAGAGAGGAGGAAAGGGCACTAGAAGTCATTTCTCCTGTCTCATATTGTTGCCCCCCCTCCAACAGGTAGACAAGGGTGTGGTGCCCTTGGCAGGAACAAATGGCGAGACTACCACCCAAGGTGAGACCGTTTGGCTCTCTCTCGTACCAACCTAAGGCAACTCACCTCTTAGGTGCCAGGGGTGAGTGGGAGCCACATTCCCCTTTCCTCTGCCATGCTCTGACTCCTCTGTCTTATCTTAGGGCTGGATGGGCTATCTGAGCGCTGTGCCCAGTACAAGAAGGATGGAGCCGACTTTGCCAAGTGGCGTTGTGTGCTGAAGATTGGGGAACACACCCCCTCAGCCCTTGCCATTATGGAGAATGCCAATGTTCTGGCCCGTTATGCCAGTATCTGCCAGCAGGTGGGCCTACAAGTCCCCAATAGACCACCTCCCACCTCATTTGGTTCCAGTGTTGCTAGTTTGCCATCCACCTGCCAGGATGCCTACCTCCCTCAAAGCAACTGTTTGTGATACTCACCAAGCATCAGCCTTGGCCCATGGAGGACACTTAAGGGCTCTGTGAGGCAGAGAGGCAGAATAGGGACTGTGGGGGTGGATCTGAGGAGAAGCCTGTCTCCTGTCATCCACTGAGGGCTTTGAAGCCATGAGTCCCTATCATCATCAAGATAAGATCTCAGCACGTAGGTGGGACTCCAGGTTAGGAGGCCTCACAGCTACCCTGTCCCTCACCCCACAGAATGGCATTGTGCCCATCGTGGAGCCTGAGATTCTCCCTGATGGGGACCATGACTTGAAGCGCTGTCAGTATGTAACCGAGAAGGTAAGTGCTTGCCTACCTGGCCGGTGTGGTAGGCTAGGCAGCTGGGCTAGGGGCCCCGAGGCTAACCCCTGCCCTCCACTCCACCTCACTTTGACCCCGCCGTGTTCCAGGTGCTGGCTGCTGTCTACAAGGCTCTGAGTGACCATCACATCTACCTGGAAGGCACCTTGCTGAAGCCCAATATGGTAACCCCAGGCCACGCCTGCACCCAGAAGTTTTCTCACGAGGAGATTGCCATGGCAACTGTCACCGCACTGCGCCGCACAGTGCCCCCGGCTGTCACTGGTGAGGCCCACACCCTCATCTTGGCCTCTGGGAGGTAGAAAAACTGTACCCACAACCTTTATGCCATTTGTTCTCATTTTCAGGGCAGCTTCTAGGGGTTCCTAGCAACCCCTGGGTCTCTGACCATAACACTCCTCCCATCTCGCCCCTTGTTCTACAGGGATCACCTTCCTGTCTGGAGGCCAGAGTGAGGAGGAGGCATCCATCAACCTCAACGCCATCAACAAGTGCCCCCTGCTGAAGCCATGGGCCCTGACCTTCTCCTATGGCCGCGCCCTGCAGGCCTCTGCCCTGAAGGCCTGGGGTGGGAAGAAGGAGAACCTGAAGGCTGCCCAGGAGGAGTATGTGAAGCGAGCCCTGGTAAGGATGGGGCAGGAGGCGGGCAGGGTTCCTGGGTGGACAGGACTCTGAGAAAAGAACTTCTCACTCTGGCTCCTCTCCCCTCTTAGGCCAACAGCCTCGCCTGTCAAGGAAAGTACACCCCCAGTGGTCAGGCCGGGGCTGCAGCCAGCGAGTCCCTCTTCGTTTCTAACCATGCCTACTAAGCTGAGATGTTCTAAGGCTGCCCCCTCAACACTCCAGGCCCTGCCCCCTCCCACACTTGGAGAGGGGGCCTCATCCAGGGCTCCAGGCTGTCTTGCCCATCGCTCTTACCTGCCATGTGACACTGGTGTGTGGTGTTGTCTGTGTATGCTAATGCCATCACTCTTTCCAGCCCACTGCCAATAAACAACTATTTAAGGGGGAGTCTTTGTCTGTGTCTTGTGGTGTCTAGGGCAGGGGAGTGCCTGGGGAGGTGGCAGAGCCCAAAAGAAGAGTCCTTGTTTTGTGTTCTTCCTTTCTGGGCAGGAAAGGGGTAAAAGATCGAAAGGATCTCTCTCTGATACTTGCCCATGGCTTTGAGAAAGGCAGAGAGCTTGTGAAGTTTTCTTCTAGCCATTACAGGCTTCACTCCTATTAGCATCTGATAGGGCTCACGGTTGTGGCGCGAAGGTGTAACGGCTCAAGTTTTAGACAGCTACAGCATCAGTCTCACTTGTAGGCCCAGAACTCAAGGGTGTAGAAGGCTCCTGTGACAAAAACAACCACTGATGAAAGCTAACCTTTCTTAAGTGCCATGAGCCAGGCTATGTAATAGGTGTTCTATATGAGTAGGTGGTATTATTCACAATTTATGCTTAAGGCTCTTTTGCCCAAGATTGTACTGTTTCTTGATGGAAATGGGATTGTCAGTGCATATCTCCTTAATTTACGCTATTGAGTTTCCTGATTCTCCATTTTAACAGGAGATGGGATTAAAAATGGCTTCTTAGTCCTTTGGGCTGTGGAACTCCATGAAAAACTTGAGTCCTTTCTGACACCCTCCTCAATACCGCAGGTACACAAAGTTCAACTGCAGAGCTCAGGCTCCAGGTTAAGATTAGTCTCTAGCTGCTGCATTCCATGAAGCCAGAATGGGGGCTTGGACACTTACGGGGCCCCTATGCCATGCCTTGAACCCTTCCCCAATAACCCGGGCTGGGTATATGTGGCAGTAACTACACAAGGTCTTAGTTGCTATAGATCCTAGCCATATCTAGGAAACTAGTTAGTCCTGCCATTTTCTAAATTTCCTGCAACCTTTCTGTAGCCTTTCCTGGTATGGGTCCTTTTTCCTCTCTTGAGCTCTTCTCTCAAAAAAATGTTGACCTTTCTGAATTCTCTGGACCAACAGTCCTTGCAGTGATCCACCTAGAACTGACTGACCTAGGGCCTTCTAAGAGTTTAAAAACTTGGTCCTTCCCTTCTCTGCACATTGGCATCTGTTGCTTACATCCAAAACCAAACTCATCCCTAGTACCCCTCCAAACTTTGGCCTCACTTCTCTGCCTAGCCTCACTCAACTCTCTGGGAAACAAAATCTGAAGTGAAGCAAATCAAAATTAAAGTGTCAGTAAAAGATGGCGAAGGACATTCCAAAAGGTAGCATCATGTGCAAAAGGTCAGAGACTGGGGAGTTGTTTAAAGATCGGTAGCTCCCTCTCCTACAGCAAGAGACTTGGAGCGTTTTGGACTTCTCAATTTTATGACAACCTGAGTTCCAGAAGGTGAGTGATAGGAGAAGACTGGAACAGAGAACACAGTTCTCCTGGATTCAAATTTCAACTGTGATTCAAATCCCAAATTCTTAGTTATACAACCAATGACCAAGTTACTTAACCTCTGAGCCTGTTTTCTCCAATTAAAGAAGGCATAAAACTTTTCAGGCAATAGTAAGCAACTGAGGGGTGTCAAGGGGACCACTTTGAAATCAGAGAAGTCATGCTGACTGAGGCACAGGCTTGGTGTGGGAAAGGCTTGCTCCTTTCTGCTTCTAACTTCGGAGGTCCTCCATGGCTAGGATTTCTCTGGGGCGATGGAAAGAGATTTGGATTGGGATCCTCTCAGCCACTCAACAAGTACTTGTGTATGACTACCGTGACAAGCCTTATTCTAAGCACTGAGGCTGCAATGGTGAACAAGACAAAACCGAGGATTGTGGTGGTGAAGGCAGACTCAAACACGGAAACAGAAATATGTAAAGTTACAAGACCTATTCCTGGCTTAGCCTCAGTCTATTTCCCTAACTAAAATGGGAGGGGATTGGTCTGGGGTCTCTAACAGCTCTCTGGTCGCCCTGTGGCTGAGTCCCCAAAGACTTCCGCCCGCACATCGCGCATCCGCGGTTCCTCCTGCTCTTTCCCTTTCTTCCGCTTGGCAGGAGGGGCACAGGGTGCGGCGAGGGAGGGGGAGGAGTGTGTATGACGCCACATCCGGCGCGCGGCGGAACTGGCCTCCCTTTGCTTCCGCGGCGGGGACGGAAGTAAAAGCGGCGGTGGCGGCGGCCCAAAGCGGAGGGAAGGAAGGAGGCAAGGAGTCCGAGAGCGGGAGCCGGAGTCGTAGCGGCGGTAAAGTCTGAGGCCCCTCTAGGCCACCGTCCTTAGCACAGGACCGCAGAGTTCGACGGGAGTTAGCGGGGCTGCGGCCAGGCCGTGGGACTCTAGGGCTCCGGGGGCCAATGTGAGGGGAGGCGGGGTGGGGGTGGGGGCTGGGCCAGCCCTAGAATCGAGCTGCCCCCACCCGCGCGCCCTGTACGGACACTCTGATCCGCGGGCTCGTCTTGGCCTTCCCCAGGAGACCCCTGTGCGGTGCGGAGGGGGCGGCGGCCCCAACTCTGACCCGCGCCGGGGGGTGGGCCATGGCGGAGATCAGCGACCTGGACCGGCAGATCGAGCAGCTGCGGCGCTGCGAGCTCATTAAGGAGAGCGAAGTCAAGGCCCTGTGTGCTAAGGCCAGGTGAGCCCGATAGCGCCGAGGAAGGGAGGCCAAGCCACCGCCCAGTGGTTCCAGCCTGGGGCAAACCCAGCTGCGAACTTTGGGCTTGCCCCATCCTGGAAGCTTTCCCAGAGAGGAGCAGAATAGGACCACTTCTCTACAGGGACGACTAGCCTGCTGGGGGAAGACAGGCCCGGATTAAGACACTTAAAGTATTAGATGATGTGTTTCCAGTGGAGTAAGAGAGTTACAGGAAGTACTTAGGAAACTCAGGGAAGCAAGCCCTGCTGACTGAGGGAACAGAGGCTTTTCGTAGGAGCTGAACTGTGGCATAGGCTTTGAAGAATAAGACGGTGGTAAAAGAGAGTATTAACCAGAATCACGGTTTGAGGCAGTATAGCTAAAGACCCTGTAATTAAAATTCTTTTAATTCTAACAGCAATCCCTAAAGATAGGTGGTCTTGTTCCCATTTTACAGGTGAGGACTCTCATGTTCAAAGTTACCAGCAAGTAAGAAATGGAGTCTGAAGCCTTTTCTCCGTGTCCTGTCCCTTTTCAGGCCATATTGCAAGAAGGTGGAGCATTCCAAGCAGGATAAGAGTAGGAGTGGAGGCCCTGAGCTGTGCGGGCAGCAGTGAGGAGGCTAATTACCTGCTTCCTCTGGGGAACTGACTTTAGCTTTCACCAGACTGGAGAATTGTAGGAGAGGAGCCAGCAAAATTTCCCTCTTGTTTACTGAACAATAGGCCCACTATTGGCTTGGCCTTGTACTGGCAAAAAACTTATATCCATTTTCTCCCCCCAGCAATCCTGTTGAGATTGGAGTCATTTGCTCCATTTTACAGAACAGAAAGCCATGAGTCGTAGAGGCCTAGGGACTTGACTGAGGTCACCCAGTGAGGAAGTAGTAGAGCTGCGTTCTCTATCTGTGGCCATGAGACTCTGCCTCACACAAACGCCCTGCAGCCAGACAGGGCCTGCAGGGGTTTGATGAATAGGCTAGGCCCCTTTTTAAAGGCCTGTCTGTGGTTCTTCTGTTCTGCCAGCTCAAGGAACTCTCCTTGAACAGATGAGCCCTAAGGTGTTTTTAGTAGTCCCTTCTTTCTTTCAGTCCTGATTGGCATTTTTGGGAATCTAAACCAATTGCTCCTTGGGGCACACCTCTCTGAGTTTTCCCTGTAAGTCTTATCACCCTGACAGGGCCTGGATCGGTGTGGTGGTGATGATAGATAATGCTTGGATAGCATGCTGGAGTTTTCAGAATAACAGAGAAGTTATGTGTTCAGACTCCATGGCTTCTTGTAGCAGCCCCATGGAATAGGCAGGACGAGGGTGAGTATTTACCCCATTTCACAGAAAACTGAGCCTCAGAGTAGATAATGTCTTGCTCGACATCACATGGCTAGTTGGAGGGGAAGTAAGTTTTGCATCCAGGTCTTTGACCATGCCCCATGGTCATTGAAAGTCAAACAGCGACATTTGGATTTTGATGTGAGGTGGGCAGGGAGCTGTGGAGGATGGAGGAGTGGAGGGTCCTGCCCAGCTGAAACTGAGATGGAAACAGCAGGGACTAGGTGGAGGCCTGAGTTGGCCACGATTTCCCAGGCTCATTCTGAAGAGGAGACAACTCTAGCACTTCTCTGTGGCCTCCCGGGGACCCAACAGGGACCCAGGCTGAGATCGGTAGTGTCAAGAATGGTCAGCTTGCCCAGAAGACACGTAGACTTTACGTCAAACCCTGGAACCATGGAGGCCTGCAGTATCTGAGCTGAAATTATTACTATTAAAAATATTAGCATGTTAGAAGAGCAGAGCATTTGAATCAGGTGGTCTTCAGTATGAATCTCTGCTTTGTCACCCATAAGCAGTATGACCCTGGTCAAATTACTTTACCTCTGTGAGTTTCTGAAATCCTTATGAGGTGTAAATGAGATTCTAGATATCTAGGGACAGGGCCTGCGCTGTTGGTAGTTGTGGAGGTAAAGCAGAGCAATTGTAAGTCATGATAGGTCTGGTGGGTTTCAAGTTTTGACTCAGGGTTTATGGAAGGGGCTGTCATAAATTCTAAATTAGGTTCCTGAGTTCCAAGTCAGTCACTCCAGTTTTGTGACCTTGATACCTCCACTTTTTTCTAAGCCTTGGTCTCTTTATCTGTCAGATTAGGATGAAAAGAACCTCCCCAGAAAGATCCTTGTAAGTAGTTGATGTGGAAGGATGTTAAGCACAAGGTGCAGTACAGTGGGGAGAGCCCAGTCGCTGCTGTGGCATCTTGGACCACCGCCAGTGCCTCCTCCCATTCCCAGATAGCTAAGGCAGACCTCTTTCATGCTGCCTTTGTTAGAGCAAAGGGACATAAGTCAGTCCTGTCGGCTGAGCTCAGGAAACTCACAGTCTAAGGGAAGAAACTTGCAGAAAGAATGTGGGCCAGGCAAGTGCCTGGGCTTCCCATATCT